ATCCACTGGGCTATTAACTATGCCACAGCTGGGTAATAAAATATTGATCATCTTTCATTTTTTTGACTGCAATATTACTAAAAAATACATTCACTACACAACAAGGATACTGAGATATGTACTGTTCAAAATACATTGTAAACTTATACAAGGTTCTTGTGGAAATAACAAATGTAAACATGGAATTGAATGAATAGACTCACACTGACTTAGTGCGTGTGCATGTGTGCGTGCATGCATGTGTATGTCCATGTGGAGGATGGTTGATGGCATCATGGTGAAAAGGAGAGGAGCTTCAGAGAGAGACTGTTGTGTGGGAGAGGTGTTGACTTGTTTGTTTGGATCATGTGTCTCTTCAACAAATCATATCATCTTGGCAAACCAAGGCCATTGCAAACATGTCTGAATCGCAAACGTCAAAACCACTGTTTGTGACAGCCTATACTTTTCTTTTTTCCACGCTCCTCTCTTTCTTTCTCCTTTTTTAAAATTTTAGAAATGTGAGTTATTCCCAATAATCGCAGGATAAATATGCTGCAGCCAGCGGGGTTGCATGATGTGGCCAATCTGTGTGCACACAAATCACCCACCATTATGATTGACACGCTGGAGGATGAGGTTGCCTTGGAGACACAGAAATACTAAATGCCTTACATTCACTCATAATTGAGAAGCAACACACGGGCTCTTCAGCGTGTGCTCGGGCCCGCTCCATATTCTGTCATCTCTGTCATTTTTGTCCCATGATCCTTATCGTGCATTTCACGCTCCATCTGCCCTGTGATATCTGTCACCCCTGAATTTGTCTGCCACCTTGTAGTGCTTGCTGACCTGTCTCCATATTTAATTATCCATGGCTTAAGCTACTCCTACACCCTAAGCCCTCTGTATATCCCTTCCCCGTCCCCACTTTGCTCTCACTTGTTTGCTCTTTAACAGTATTTCCCAGGTTTAGCAGAATGCATCTAGGTCGCACATCAATCCTGTGTAACATGTACCATCTGGGTGCTAAGCTAAAACAAAAGTGAAAGGCTGATGGGCAGACAAACACACACACACATTGCATGCATACACAGGGCCCTCTGTGCAGCACAAAGCAGCAGCCGTCTCTGCGAATGCTGTAACCATGGGAATACAGTGTAAACAGCAGACACTATCAAAACTGGACTGACCTTGCCTCTGTGCGTTCAATAAATAATTATTTGTGTATTCTTATTCAGCTGTTCAAACTGTATTGTTAATAAGGGGCACAGAGCTTTCTGGTTGAAGGTGATGACTGGAGATCATCAACAAAACATGCAGGAGCTAGACAAGCCAAATAAAATCACATGTGACTGGAGCAGGGACCAGAGTTTATCAATATTTCATGATGGGATCAGCAGTCTTTGTCGAGCTTCCTTCTGATAAAGGCAGAGCTGTGGATGTTTGGCAAAAATTTATCGCAGCATTTCCACTGACAGGCTTCGTGCATATCTGGCAGATCGAAGTTTGAGTTCATGGTAGCACTGTACAAAACTGTGGTAGATGAACGTGATGGGCAGCGCCAGGAGTACGATACCACTGACGACGCACATTCCCCCAAGCACCCGTCCTCCAACTGTCACAGGGTACACGTCCCCGTACCCCACCGTCGTCATAGAGATGATAACCCACCAGGCAGCAGCTGGGATGCTCTCGTAGTCAGGATTCCGCATGCCCAAGTCCAAGCCGTGCTCCAGCAGCTGAGCCAGGGCGCTGTATATCGCCATGGCAACGAAAACAAACACCATCAGCATGACCATCTCTCGGTAGCAGCGCCTGAGTGTCAGCCCCAGTGTCTGCAGGCCCAGGAAGTGTCTGGCCAGCTTCATGAGCCAAAACACTCGCATCATCCTCAGAACCCGCAGTATCACCCCAGCAACCCCAAGCCCAGCACCAGGCATCCCTGCTCGTGCCATTGCCATGGTGACATAGTAGGGGCTGATCGCAATCACATCGATGAGGTTCAGTGGCCGGCGGAGAAAGTCCCACTTGTCCTTGGCTACAAGAAAACGCACTATGCATTCCGCTGTAAACCAGCCAATACACACGGCCTCCACTATCCTACAGGGGAGAGAGCAGAAGAGAAAAATGGGTAAACAGGAAATGGCAGAGGCGCTACTAAGAGATATGGATGATATGACACACTGTTTGACAAACAATAAATATGAGGAAGAAGGAAGAAACGCAGGGGTCACATAAATTATGGTAACAAGGGACGATATCAGATGCAATTCAGGGATGACTTAAGTAAACAAGGCCAAGAGGACAAACACACAGTAAGGAAGGAGGTGAAATTGCCCGGAGACTGCACAGAGGGAGAAATCATAAACCCTCATGCAGAGAGTGTGACACAAACAAGCACACGAATACCCCATTGATTAGGGCAATCAGAGTGAATTAGAGTGAGATGCTGTGTGTATTTAAGCAGCCAGGCCTAGCAAACACCACACAGCCATCGATGAGGATAACTCCATCAGAGCATTTAGACCAAAACCAAATTATTCAGCGACTGAGAGAATTGCATCATCTACTGGCATGAAACTACATAGAAATCATTTTGACCCCTGAGCACAAACTGCACTTTTAGTCGATTACCTAACCACTGTAATGGATCCAAAACTCAAAACTATGTACACCCTGAGTGAACATAACCCAGCCTTATATAGAGAGAGGCCACCTCAGGCAGAACAGCGGCTGAGAACAGGCCAAAATCATGTGGAAACAGAGGTGCATAAAAAAAGCTGAAATAAGTATCCAAACACTGACTTAGATAGAAGGTGACTACTGTAAGTGGCTTGATGCCTTTTTTGTTTGCTTACTTTAATATTCCCTCCACCTGTCCTATCTCTCTCATTATCCACTAGAATATTATGAATCTGGCATTTATCTGACATGTTTGTCTTCCTTGTTTCCTGTGCATTGTAATCTAAAGTGATTTTGCGGTGGAGGGTGGGGAGACTCTGAAATAAGAGTAAAGCAGGGCTTTCTGTTTAGTTATTAACACTGGACTTTTGTAGATAATATGGATCTGTAATTGATTTGCTTCTTGGGGAACTTGTCTGACATGTGAGGATCCCCCAGTCTCCCACTTGTCATCAGGCTGTATTGATTTAAGAAGCATCTGTTCACTAACCACAAGGACACATTTGCTGCATCTAACTAATGCATGTTTACTAAATACACTGCATGAAGTAGTTGATGGCTTTGCTGTGTATGAAAACGACCACATCATAGTACGATTCAAAAAGCAAACGCCTCCATGCATGTGCCAATCTTCTGGGAAATAAATAAAGAGAGAGCGAGTTTGACCGCTGCCTTAATGCATGCAGGCGGTGGCATGAGATTCTCAAGTAATTCTGAGTGTGTTCTTTTATATATAAGGTATTTTATCATGGTGGGCACGCATCTTTGACATGATTTAACCGCTTTACGCACCAGTCTCACTTCACTCAGGGTCCCATATCCTGCTCTAAACTTAACTGACTCTTGACTAACGCCTACCTGTGCTCATCCACAGTGTTCCTCTTGGCTGTATCCCAGTCCGGCAGGGTGCTGGCACACAGCATGATCATAGAAACAATCACAAAGATCACGGACACCGAAGCCAACAGCTGCGCCGCAAGCGACGAGTTGGGCTCCTCGAAAGCCATGCGCATCTTCTCCAGCCACCGAGCGCGACCCGTGAGCGCCGGCCGCTGCACCGACTCGCCCGGGCTCTGCGACTCGTCCCCGGACACTCCGATGTCCTCCTCGGACAGAGTGTCCAGTCCGATCTCGGACATCCTGTCGTCCAGGCGCTTCTGGCAGCAGGAGTCCAGGTGCGCGCTCTCCAGCCCCCAGTAGAGCATCTCCGTGTAGAAGGAGAGCTCACACACTCCAGGGACGAAGCGGAGTTTGCCGGATCGCACGTAAAGCATAATGAACACGAAAGCTTGAGCGTGGCGGTCGAAGAAGAACTCATTTCGGTCCCGGTCGTAGTCGTCGCACAGCTCCAACACCTCTTTCTCAGTTGCGCATGCATGCAGGCGACTGACGCGCCGGAGAGGGAAATCCTTGATCACCTCACGGGTGAAGGCGTAGCGGGTTCCCCCTACGTTGAGCACGCAGATACTCTTCCCAAACTTCATCTCGTCAATGTGTCACCTTAACTAAAAGTCCTCTTCACAGTCCACCCCCCTTCCAAAGAAGAGTTTGGAGGGCAGAAGGGGTCACAGTCTCCCATGTCCCCCCAGGGCGGGCGTGGTTGGCACGGAGTGGAGGTGGCCCTGCATGCGCGCAGCTCCGTGGCTGATGAACTATTCCCTCCGTCCCTCACTCTCCTCGCCTCTGAATGTGCAGCCTGTGGAGGAGTCTCTCTCTCCAACCCAGTCAGTCAGGGCGAGCCAATCCCAGCAGTGATGTCACATGTGCGCGCACGGAACAGGATAAAGTAACTACAGGAAACTGGAAGTTGAACCGTGCATTTATATACATATTCCCTTCAACAAATAAGAACCAACTCCATAACACTAATAACACTCTACAGATTTTTGTTGATGGTTGTTGTATAAACCTCAATGCCAGGAATCTAATTATATTTGAT